GGGTGGGGTGAGCCCCGCTTTACCTGGGCAGCTCCTCCAGGTCGAAGAAGCCATCACTGGTCATCCCCAAGCTGGCACCTGCAAAGCAGAGCCCCTTTCGCACCCCTCGCCAGCCTCACCTCTCCGCCTCCCAAGACCCGCTTTGCTTTGGCAGACCTCTCTCCAGGCAGCCCAGGGCGGCTCACCGGGAACTTTGCTGTCAGGAGGGACGGCCGGGCGCCCGCCCGTGGCTATCAGGATGTGAGGAGCCGTGTACTTCTTCCCATCCACTTCGATGGTAGGCTGGGGATCAGCGGTGAACCTGCCGTAGCCTCGAATGATGTCGATGCGAGCCTTAGGGGCGCAGCAGTTACGTGATTAACAGCAGGCGGAGCCGCGAGAGCCAGCCAACGGAGCCAGGGTTCGCGCGGTTAGAGAAGAGGACGCCCACTGAGGCTGGAGCAGCGGCCAAAAATCCAGCAGGCTGCACTTCCCTGCTCAGCTCAGGGGCCGAGCGCACGCTCACCTTCTTCACGTTGCCCTCGTAGATCTCGTTCAGGCGCCTCACATAAGCGTCGCGCTTCTCTTTGATCGTTCTGGAAGAGAGCGGGGGCTTATTGTCGTGGCGAGCGAACTAAACCCACAGAGCTCAGCGAAAAACAACACGACCCCGTCGGTACGTGGCACCCACGCCACGAGCACAACCGCCCCGAGTTCGGCATTGGTTTGCCACCCCCTTTTCTTCACAAACCCTCGGGTCTGTGGAATCAGGGGACCCCGTCACCTGGGCTGAGACCTCCTCCAGGCTCAGCTCTTCGCCCCGTGAGAGAAGCAAAGGGGTCAGAGGTGAATATTTGCACCGAACTCAAGGGGGAATTTCACCTCTTTGTACACACCTACCGCCATCCCTACATCTGCCCGCGCGTGCACCCGCGGCCTTGAGCCGGCAACTCCGTTAAGCCCGGGGTTAAGTTGCCGTGTCGATCCGCTGACCGTTAAGTTTTGCTAGGAATTTACGTCACCCAACCGTGCGACACATCTTTACGGTGTCAGCGGCTGCTGCTTCGAACTGCTGCTATCCCGAAGTCACAGGAAACGCAAATTCACCCCACCGCGCTCCTTACGCCCAGCTCCTGGGACACAAACCACTGATCAAGCCTGGGACTGGGAGCGGATTTCGTCACCCCTGGACTCCTCTCCAGGAAGTTCAGAGAGCAAGGGGGTCCGCTCTCAGCATAGGGACTCAACGGGAAGGACCTCCTTAACCTCTTTTCCTACCCATGTGTCACTCACACCAACCCAACGCAGATTGAATTTCCCAAATAAAATGAATTCATTTCATTAACATTTAAATCCAGGTATAAACCATTTTAACCCAGTGCTAACTTCATTTCTCCTTTGGATGCTTTTCCACATTGAGTAAGCAATTGAGCGGCCCTTGCCATCCAGCGCCATTAAGTCACGTTTTTCACAAATTCCTATTAAAACAGCCTCTTCCCCCAAATACCTGTGATGCTGGAGTTTTAAGCGGCCTAACCACTCTCCGTCGTGACAGTACAGTGGGAATCCCAGCCACGTAACCGGCTCCGCATCCACGCCGGGAAGCCTCAAAGCGGGCAGGGATCCCTCCGGAGGGGACAACAAGCCCCGGGGCCGCGGCGCTGACCCGCGGCCGCTCCCCGCAGGACACGCACTGGGAGATGCTGGTTTCCAACCGGCTCATCCCATATTTACCTCCAGTTGAACGTGACGCCGGGCGTTTCGAAGCCGTAGTCGGCGTGATCGTGGACG